TCATGTTGCTCGGAAAACTCACCTCCCACAGTGGTGATTGTCGCTGCTTAATTGGCATTTTGTCTAATGTGAGCCACCTTTGTAGCACTGTTCATGACTGTGATTAAGTAATTGTGATTAATAGTGCCCTAAACCACCGTTTATTCTGCGGTTTAGTGCACTTCAACCTAACAAGATGCAGGTGGAAAAATACCTCATCTTGTCACGTTTATAAAGCTGTTCCTTCAAAGCTTAGCTCTTAGCTTTGAGTGTGTGATGACCTGAATCTTAATATTGGGAGCCATAACCCTCTGCCTGCCAGCGGCCTGCGGGTTTGTTAGGCCCTTCAGGGAGATAATATTCTACAACTGCAGATTGAGAGGCTTGCAGGCTAGAGGTGTCAGGCAGAGAAATGCCTGCAACAGGCAGTCACACAAAGCACTGAAGGAGTGAAAGAGACTGTTGACAGCTGCTACTGTTTCCCTGTTAATGCTGTGCTGGTGGGATTTGTTGTTAAATAAATACCATGTATATTATATTTATGCAATGAAGGCTGACATTTCAGTCCAGAAATGTTGATTCTTGGGAGCGCATTATTCCAAGATGGTTACCCACACTGCCTTTTAGTCACATCACTTACAGCTTAAATGAGCTACTTTTGCCATCTTCAGTATTTGAAGAAGTTTGTTAACTAGTGAAACCAGATGCAAACACACAGTAGCTTCTTTTAAATTAGCTGAATCAATTGTGTAAGTGTTAATACTGGATTTTATTTAGATGTAACTGCCAGCAGTTTTTTTTATTTGCAGCCATTTTGTTTGTTGACATTTCTGTAGTTCTGTCTGCAAAATGGGAGAATCAAATCAGATCAAATCACTAAAAACTAGGAAGCTGAAATAATTTTTGCACTTGGTTGCTAGTTACAACGGTCTGAACGATGCGACGTAATACTATGTCCTGCTGCCTTTTATCCTGAAAGGCCCTGCACTCAAACACACATTTTCAATGATTGTCTCATTAGAGATCTGCTCAGGTGCTATGCTGGACTTGCATAAGGTCAACTGACTCCATGTACTTATGAGGACGATATCTGTTTTATTCTCGCCGAAAGTGGTGCAACAAAGCTAACAGGAGAGTCAGTGACACAACAATCAAGCATATAGGATACACCCCTACATAGTCCTGAGCGTAGTGAAATCACTCCCTCATTCACACTTCCTTATATAACAGACACCCATTAGTTTACTCTATAGTGAACACAAAATTTAGATCCTGGACACTTACTGTATGAAACGCCATCAGCTGTAGAGTCACACAGGAACCTGGAAAATGCAACATGTTGCATTGTGGGATTGTTAACAGAAAGCAGTGTACATGTCATAAACACTATTTGCTGTGTTCACCTGTGAGGGCACTATAGTGCTTAACTTAAACTTAAATAAATTGGTGGACAGTATAACACACATAGACAGTGATTTCAGCCACAACTGAAGCCTAATCAGTCCAAATAATTAAAAACACCTCTGTGGGTTCACCATGAGTGTGCAGGGAATGTTAACAAGGCAAGATATTGATCTTTAAAGTAAAAAGACTGCATCAGAGTTATGAGTGCACTGCTTTTCTTCATTCTTTCTGCCCATAACTTTAGTCCAACAGCAAGCATTAATAGTGTGACAATCTTCCCACCCTGAGTGATTAAAATGGCTGCTATCAGGTAGGACAGAATTTTATTGTGAAGCACTATAAGCTATATAAATAAATATTTACTTATTTCCAAGTAACACAGAGATATTTTTGTGCTGTGCCTGTAACAAAACCTGCATATAAATAAATTAGCTTATCACATTGCAATTGGCTGCCCTGCCCAGGCCTGCAACAACAACACAATGAACAGCTGAGACACAACATGATGAAAATCACATCGAGAGCTTGCTGCAATAAAAACAAATGAGGAAAATTGCAAAAGCACCAATATTCCTCATTCCATATATAAGAATGTTTCAGCCCAACCAGAAACGGTGCAACAGGAGGAAATACAGTTTCTGAATAAGAGCCGCATGGATTAAAATGACACAATGCAAAAGCAATAAACAGAAAGAGAGACTAACAATTTGAAGTTTATACTCTGTCTCCCCTGCTGGAAGAAACTCAAGCAGAACAGCAACAAATATGTTTAAGTGCCAAGAAAATGTTGACAAGGCAGAAACCTATTAGACTGCAAGGAACAAAGTCAGCACCAGCAGTCATCAGCCTGAAATAATTCTTCATCAAACACCTGAGAGCTCACTGCCGTTAGATACTGTCGACCGAACAAGCAGTGGACATTTTTCATCACACACACATCCACACACTTTAACTATTGAAAGTATTAAAGCTACACATACACACACGTGTGTGTGTGTGTGTTTGAGAGCTGTGAGCACCAAGTAATTTCCAGGGCCAACAGGATTATCAGTGTATGTTCTGGAAGATGGCAGGGAATCACCCTTCAAGTTAATGAAACAGTTAGCGTAATTGGTCTTCATCTGTCATCTCAAACAGAGCAGTGGACTGTTTGAGTCCTGAGAAAGAGAGAGAGAGAGAGAGAGATTACTGACGGGACAGTGATGAAAATTGGTCTGAGGATAATGAGTCCCGTTGTCTTTTCATCCTCTCATCCTCTGTCTCTCTCTCTCCCTCTCTCTCATTACTCAGAGTGACTGGTCGTCGAGTAGCTTCACAGTCTGCTGCTTATTAAAAAACCCAGAGCGCCTTTAGATGAGTTCATCAGGCTCTCCACCCCTTTCTTTCCCCTCCATCTCTCCATCCTCCCGCCAGTTCTGCATCCTCTCATCCCAGCACCTTTTTTTCCTCCCCCTCTCTCAGTTTGAACTCCTACATCCTTCCTCTCTCTGTCTCTTTATTCCTCCCTCTTCCATCTGTTTATTTTTTCCACCATCCTGTAGAGTAAAACAGCGAGAAATAGAAATGAGGAGGAGGAGGAAGGAGGAGAAATGGAGGCCCAGGCAGGGAGGGAATCAAAGAGCTCAGTAGAGGAAAAGACAATCCCCTTTGTGGCAGATGAAGCTTTTATAGAAATGGGGAGCTTTCTACCAATTTCCTGTTGATATTCTTTGTAGTTTATTTTTCCCCCTACAACCAATCTCCTTCCTTTGTCCCAACACTCCACCCCCCTCCTCCCAGTGCGTCTGTGCCACCGTGGCAGATTGTTTGGAATCAATAAAGATGGTTGTTGGCAGGGCGGGACGGTGGTTCGCTAAACACTCAATTCGCTTCACACAAATCACTGCCTGCTTCCCAACACGTGACGGCTACATCCTGCAACAAACAATTAAAAACTCATGCAAATGTGCTGTAAGGCTTGTATTAATACACATATGGTGGTTGACAGGCAGACAGGCAAACCTAGATGGGATTTGGACAGCATGGAGGAAAAAAGGATTGATGATTATTGTTAAAAATGAACAGGTGCCGTGGTCGTTCAAAAAAAGTGAAGCTATGAAAGTGAAAACCTGTAAATGATATTGCTTTCTGTACAAGTGTTCAGATTCTTTGCTCAGGTAAAAGTAGTAACGCTACACCATAATAATACTTAATTGCAAGAAAGAAAGACCTGCATTTGAAGTAGTAGTAGTAGGCCTACTTACAGAAGTAGCCTTTTGATAGCAGCATGTACTTAAAGCAGCTATAATCTATATTTTTATAATAACAATCTATCAAATGACAATGCAAAAACAATGTGACAAAAAAGTGGTCATTCGTAGCTCTCCTGCCTTTACAAAGCTTCATAGTGAGCTTCAGCTCATTGTTTAGCTGTCCAGCCCATAACTTCACTGGTTCACTCTCACCGCTCTCAAGTGTTGTTTTGTTGTTTTCTAAAAAGATCCCTGTCTGTCCTTAAATCATTCAAATGGACTTTATGCTTAGACAGTAAGTCTAGAATTCATGTGTTTATCTGTCTTTGGTTTTGGGAGGTCTTTTAGTGTGGTGTTATCATTGCTGTCTTGCTTTATTAAATGGAGTAAATGAATACAGAACATGTTCTAAAAAGCTCTAAAAACCCACTACACTAAAGCAGACACACAAAGTTAGTGACTAGCTGCTTAACTTAGTGGAGCATTTAGCAGCTAAAGAGTCAGACATTTCCCTCAGTAGTTGGTTGAGAGAGATAAACGAGAGTTCATATTACACTTACATTCATCAGGTGGCCGGAAACAAAACTCCAAATGAATGATAACACTGATTATAGTTATTTATGATCAAAAGGGCTCAGTGACAACTCATTAGTTTATCAACATTACTGGAATCGTATGGTGACAGTATCTTTATTTTTTATCATTCTAACAGATTGAATCACTGCTTCTAAGTACATTTTAATTATTATCTACCAAAATGAGTCTTCTTGAGTAACATGTGTGAAGTTTTGTCTTACGTAATGCATAACATTGAAACACAGTTCACTAAAGCGAAAATCAATTTGATTATTTCATTTGTGATTTTGCACAACATATTATTATTGGGAATAAAACTTTGAATATCATTATATTGTTATAAACCATATGGCCAAGCCCTTCTGATGGTACTACTGCCAGTTCTTTATATACCACTGTGAAGTTTAATCTAAAAAATCATCACGTTTTAGAAGCTGATGAGTTTTGTCTGTAAAATCTGGATTTTCAAAATTATTAGTACCAATATGGGTCAAAGTGATATAGTGCAGTAAAATGTATAATATTTCCCTCTGAAATGTCGTGAAGTAGAAGTTTAATGTAATATAATACAGAAATACTCATGTCAATTCTGAGGTAGTTGTACTTGACATGAGTACAGCACTTGAGTAAATCTGCTTGAATGTGCTAGTTACCTTCCACCACTGCACAAAGTCCCTGTTTCTATCTGCTTCACATACAGACGCACAGAAAACTAAGAGAGAAATATTCATGTAAAGAGTTCCCTGGTGATGCTGTAGCTCACTGACTCATATCGCATCCCGAGAAATAATCAATTCATACACACAAGAAGCCTGTGTGATTCGTTTTAATAAGCTTTTGTCATTGTCTCACACACATGCACACACTGGAATCTCAATATTCAAATAGCACAGGACACATAGGGGGTTGTAAGCTTGATGCAAAGCTACCACTGGTCACAGACAATAAAGGTCAAGTTTGAGTGCAGCTTAAGGTACACACAATCCATTTTTCACAAGAATTCATTCAGAATATCATTTAAAACCTTCGTCATGACAACTCTATTAACCTCAATAATTAGCAGGGAAACAGAGAAACTAATCAACATCTGCAGAAGAGCCAGTGTGCACTTCAAAAAAGCATTCATCCATTTAGGAGATATCTTCCTGCTCAGGAAGGTCTTGATCTGTGATGACAGCGAGGAGGAGGAAGAATCTGGATGTTGAGCGTAGCAGTGTGTATCCACAGCAACCAAATCTGACAAATCCACTCTCTCAGAGTTTACTCATGACAGTGGCCTCTGTGGGAGTTAAGAGAGAAAAAACTTGAAACTTGTAAAACAAGGGAAGCGAGCATTTTACCTTGGTCATGCAGCGGTTAATAGCATTTTGGCTTTTGGAGCGTCTGGTCGCTTCAGAGGGATCTGTTAGCGAGGATTAGTCACTCTCAGTCCAACATGGCTAAAGACACACTCAAAAACATGCAAACACACGCACATACACATCAAACAGACAGCCAGTGTGGGCAGTGCCAGGTGTTGGAGACACATAAGGTTTATAGTGGAGAGTTGGAGGCCTGCCTGCAGCAGCTCTGTCACACAGACCGACAGTTCCGGTCCATCTACCAGCCAAGCACCACTATTGCTCGCTCACTGCTGCTACAAAATCTACTGCACATCCATTAGAGGAGAAAGACACCATCAGCTAGCACAGACTTTTTAAAGGGACACACCTGCTTTTTATTTTGGGGGGGGGGGGGGGGGGGGGATAACCTCTTTAGTCAACTGACTCGGTGGTGAAGATGAAAAAGTGCTGATTTCATGCTTCAAGTGGAGAGCGGATGCCGTGTCACAGTTTAAAACTGCAGCATGTGGAGTGGAAGCTCAGAGTTTGCATCATCACATAAGTAAGAAAACAGACCCTCTAACCCTAAAGCTGGATGGACTCAAGGTTCAGTATTCATTATTTGTTATTTACGGTGTATTCTATTATGTACTGTGTATTTATTCTCTTTTTTTTTTTTTAGTTTGCACTTTTCTTAATGTGGATCAGGTTCACTTCATCTTCTATGAATTCTTTCTTGTATTTTTTGGTAAAGCATTTTTTGACTTATGTGTGAAAAGTGATATACAATAAAGTGTCCTTACTTACTATATAAAATAACTCAACAATCTGACCATGAAATCAAAGCTAATTTTACACATAAGCGTTTTAAACAGCATTAATTGATGCCAGCTGGGTGCAGATAAACAACAGTGATGTATTATGACCTTAGGTCATTATGGTAAACAGTTGCTGATTTACACAGCAAAATTTACATTAATTTGGAGTCTATAAGTCTGTATATTCACTCTCTTTTTCGCTCTGTTTTGGTTTCCTCCAACTCCAGAGGCAAATATCTGGCTTCACTATGTTTACCAGCTAGTGACTAACTTAATCTTTCTTCCATTTAGTGCAGAGTAGTTAGCATATAGTAGGTTTATCAGTGCTTTCAGATGTCTAAAAAAATGTGTTGAAAGATGCTATAGTGCTCTGTTGACTAGGTGATTCTTGGGTTTGTCACTACAAGCAACACCATTAACATGATGCACAGTAATTTGATTCTTTGTTAATATAAAATACATATGATGATAATGTATATTATTACTGCTTTGATCAAGAACTAATACATTTGTTTGATTGTCTAAATATTGGCTAAAATCAAAGCGGGACACAAATAAATGAACGTCTGTTACATTCAGGCCCATTCCTGTGCAGGTGCACAAGTAATGTTGCGTTTTACGTCAACTAGCAATGATTCATTTGCCGGAGCTGAAAAAAATGTCCATAGAAGAGAACATTCAACATTCAATATACAATATTATTAAGAATTGTTTATTTTGTTTATTATGATTATAGTTTGTGTTAATATGCTTTAGCAATGTTGTATTGTATGCAGTCATGCCAATAAAGCAACTTGAATTGTAATTAAAAAGGAGATGACACAACTCTTTCATTACATGGCTATGAAGGAACCGTAGCGACAGAGTAGGCTACAGCAATTAGCAGTATGGCAGAGACTTTGGCGGAAAAACCTAAGAAAAGAAAAGAGAAAAGTCCAAGAAAGGTTTCTGATGCTCCAGATAAAATAGAAACTCTGTGTTCAGAGGAAGGATTACAGTCAAACAACAGTATTGGGAACTGAGATTTATTACAAACTCAAAGGATAAAGTTGATATATTTTTTGTTTTTTCAAAATCTTACGAAAAGACCAAAACCAACAATGAGAAAGTCCATATGTCAATACTTTCTGACTTCCCTACATTGTCTGTGGCACTCTAGAACACTGGTCCCTACAGAAGATATACATCTTTAAATACAGGCTACAATTATATAGTTTTATTTTTAAAGGAAATAACATTCTTACAACAGTTGGTCACTGTAAAACGTAAACGAGAGTGCATTTAGGGACTATTTTCAGTAGTGGATTAATACACATTTGATGCTGGGGTGAGTATTATCGTCAGCAAGACAGTGTATGTAAGTTGAACTGACTCAAAATGTCACTGATTGACTGATAAGATATATTAGGCTTTCTCTATACAAGAAATACTTGTTAATAGGATCAATTTATTTTATTGGTCATTTTTACATTTTTATCTACAAAATACTATTTTAGTAAACTTCTACATATTTTGGTTTTTGTATAAAATAGAGAGTACAAAGGCAACGCAGTTTGAGATCCCATTATTTTTAGCAACTGAGGTTCCCAGAGGCTCGCATTGAAATGAGAGAGAAATCCTTCTTGGTATCAGCCACTACTGGTTGGATCTGTCTTCAAAAAGATTAAAAAAATTAAGACTCTTAACCCAGTGTCTGAGTTTAAAGCTTATGTGAGAGATACGGCTGCAAAGTTGATTGGATTCTGCTCTTATTATTAATAGGCTGCTCCTTCTTTTCTCTCTTACTCTTCTTTTACTCCTTGTCTATCAGGGCATATATGTCAAATGCTTAGCAAATGGTATGTTTTTAATCTTGTGTATTTAAGTGCATTCATCTTTTATGTAAAGCCGCTGCTGTTTTGCTGTTGTGTGTCTTAAAACATACTCTGAATTGTAATAGTAATGGAAAGAAAATTATGTTAAATCTCATGCATACTGTATATATTTATATACATTGCCTTGAACTGTTACACATCATGCATGCATTAATGTTATACAGAGTGATATATTCAAACCCCAGAGGCATTGCTTTTACTTTACTGCCACTTAGACCATGACATTTCCCCTTTCATTTAAAATTAAACACAACACTCCACCTGCTTTGGTTTCAATGTCAGCCTTGCTTCACTGCGTTGTTGGTCATGCTGCCAAGTTTTTGTTGACAGCACAGTGTGTGAAGGTTTGTCTGTTTGTTGTAGTTAATCTTTGGTGGGTTTTTTTGTTTGTTTCAGTTAATTTATCGCTGCTATTTTTGTCACGCAAATCTGGAACAAGGAAATATAAAACGGATGATTATTCTAATTGCTTTTTGAGGTCTAAAAGCACAGACAGAGGCAGGTTGAAAAGGCATCAATTGAGGTCCGCAGTTGTTTACATTGCCGGCTTCTTACTGTAATAACAATATGGGTTTTAGTGACGCTGCTCCAGCTGAATAATTCAGGTAAGTGTAAGATTTTTTCCAAATTAGATGCCAGACTCTGCAGCAGTATTAAACTTGAGGAGGTGAAGATTTGAAGGATTTCTTCTGAGAAACTTTCTGATTGTTTTGTTGGTCTTATGTTTGGCTTTGGCAGCAGCTGTGTGCCAAGTCATATGAAAAAAACAACTGTTTTATAAAAGCAGAAAGCATGAGATGGCTGAAACCTCTCTCTCAAAATGTTTTGGAGGGGAGATGTGAGTTTGATTTATAGCAGTGGTAAAGCAAGACATTAGAGGTTAAGGCTGCAGTTGTAATACCGATGCTTAATTTGAATAATTGAGTGAATGACTGATCATGCTTAGGAGCCCAGACTGCTTGGCATTATAACACTATCAATCACGAGTGCAATCAAAACAAATGGGTGAAGTCATCATGTCGAGCCAACATCAAATTTACGTATTTACTAAACTTCATTTAACCATACAGATCAATTTGCAATAATGGCACACTACTTTGCTTCTAGTCTATTTTGAAATCAGGTGAGATAGGACTTGTAGATTGAAGAAGGAACCTTGGAGGCTTAAAACATGATTGTTCTTTTTTTTATTTAAACCAGACACTTTTCACCTTCGGAGGAAAAACATTTCACATTTTCTTTCCCAGCATCAGTTTGTAAACTAGCTAGCTCGAGGCCAGTGGTGCCCATTACTTGCATTCAGAAATGTAAAGAATGCAAATAGCCAATTTCATTTAACTTGAGGTGGAAGTACTGGCAATTTATTCCCAAAATATTGTAAGTGCAGGCTGGAGGAAATATCAGGCTTTTCTCCATGAACACACCATTTACTTTTCACACAGGGGTTAGGACTGCCCATCTACCAACAGACTAAATGCAGTTATTCCTGTTGATAAAGCAAGCTACACATGTTGACACACACCATGCTGGTTACCTGAACAATAAGCTGCTGTCATTGGTCAGACTAGAGAATGGGCACAGAAATGAGGGCAAAACACAGATGATTGGCTAAGAAAACTCACTTCATGCACTCATTCATTTTCATTTTAATTGGCCTTTAATGCTTCTTGGTTGCATTTTCTCTTGACTTTTTTGATATTGGATAACCATCTGATCCTCCCAAGACGCACAAAGTGGCTAATTATAAATGTGGTAAGTGTGTTCGGCTTTGCTCACTGATATCTAGCAGCTGTGCTATACTTGGAGATAGTGCAAAGGAGTACTGGCTGGAAGAAAACTCTTGTTTGTCAAGAAAAAGTTACAGCATGCCACCAACTAAATAATGGCAAAATGAGATACAATATGTTGTGCTTCCCACCGCTTTCAGTCTTTATGCTAAGCTAGGCTAACAACGTCCAGCTCCATACTTATCATACAGACATGTTATTGGTACTGATCTTCTCAATTAAAGGGGTATTATGGAGTTTCCAGTGGCCACTAGCGGTGCGGTTTTAAGATTGCTACCAGGCGTGTGCTCGTACACATGCTCGCTTGAACTTATGAGCGAGCATAATCCGAAACACAAACACTTTCATGCTTTCATTCAGAAATCCTGCAATAAATGCAGTCACACCAGCATGCAGGCTGTGGCTTTTCACTCAGACATGTTCAGGCTCTGTTACTTCAACGTTCCCGTCTCAGAGGCAGATCGACAATGGCTCCGTAACATTACTTCATTCAGCGCAGCCAGCTGCATATCGGCACAATCCTCCCGGGAAAAAGGCAGAGTGACAGTGGCTATAGACAGGCAGGGAGACAGCTTCACACAATATACCGGTCAGGTAAACCCCTACTGTAACGTTACAGTAATAGTTTTATCAGCTGCAGGTTGAACTAATCCATGCTTGTCACAGTACATTTACTGCATTTAGCCGACGTGCTACAACGTTAGCTCACCTGCTGCTTTCAATAACTATTTCTACTATCTGTGTATCTTTCACTGGAGGCTCAGCAATGTCAGCACAGCTAAATATATTGGATGATAACGAAACAGGTAGTGAGCTGGACTGAATATTATAACGAGATAGTGTCACACTTCATAACAGTTAGACCGCAGTAAGTAAATTTACTGTAGTGTTAGTGCATGGCTCTTCGTCTGGATTGCTGTCACTGTGAAGTTTCAGTATTGTATATTATGTGGGTCGTGTAAGTTTTATGGTGTTAGTGGACTGCATGTTAGCATGTTAGCTGGCCTGTTGTCGCTGTAGTACGAGAGAGGCTCGGGAGCGCACAGGGCTGAATCCGACCTGGAGTCCCCACATTGAAAGCAGAATGAATAGTGGCTGATGCAAACAACAGAGAAAACAGGCGTGTGCTTCATTTCTAAGTGAGTTTTTAGCCCCTTGACAGTAAGGCAATGAAAATTTGATTAATTTCATTGAAAAACTTACATATAGTCCCTTTAACCATCAGAAAGTAAATAAGCATATTTGCTAAAATGTTGGACTAACTTACCCCTTTCAAGTCTTTTAATCTCATAAAATACGTGACTGGCAGTACCAATAAATACATCAGAATGTAACAAGTGTCTCATTTTTAGTGGTGCAATAAAATAATTCTAAAACAATTAAATATTTTGCACATGCCATTTGTTTGTTCTGCTCTGCCCTTTACAGAAATTATTTGTGACAATAACTTGCATGACATATGTGTAGCCGCATATCACTATGTAACATTTAGCAGTCACAAGAACAAATGTGTGACACAAACAGTCAATGGAATATGTGTTCAAAGAGACTTAAGTGATTAAATAAATCAAATAAATTAATGAGTGAATTAACAAGGCAGTTTCCCAGATGGTCAGCTATGGAAAAGGCCATGCCAATCAACAGAATATGCATCTGCGTGTGTGCTTTTGTGCATTCAAATCATTTAATAAAATATACCTATAAGCATGTTAATGTGTATTTAAATGTTTTATATGTCACTGAATGTATGTGTGTTGGGGAGCAAGTATGTTTATTTGATGCAATTAAACCTGATTAGGAGTGCTATATCTACACAGTGTGATGTGTCTAATGGCTTCCTGTATGTGTGGATGGAGTGGATGTGCAAATAGCACACGGTGGATGATGTAGAGTATTTATCACACCACAGTGTGTGTAGCTAAATTGAGCTGAGCTGTCAACACTGTCTATAGGCGAGTGTGTATGTGTGTGTGTACAGTGTGTGTATCTGTGAGTGTGTGTGAGTGTGAAAGAGAGAGAGGGAGAGACACAACTCACCGGCAGGGAAGTAGAGCGGGAGGTTCTGCAGATACAGCTCCTTATCCGTCGGCAAGAACACACAGAAGATGACTCTGTCCAGCTGACGCACACACATACACATGCAATGACCTTTATTACAAGCATATGCAATAAACATGAATTTATCAAAGGCAGGGAGGAACAATGTAACAGTCTGTGACATTGTGCGGTGGTGATATCAGGAGAATGCAGCTAATGGATTAGTCCATTACTCTCCTATTAGCTCACTATTATGATCATGCTACAACACAGCACTTATTAAACTGCATGCTGGGGACAGAGAGCTGAAAAGTGTGTGTGAGCGTGAAAGAGAGAGAAGGAGAGAGAAAGAGAAATAGAGGTAGGGAGAGGAGAATTTCCTGTGTGGGTATATAAGTACTTCTATTGTTGAAGTGTTTGTATTTATGTATATGTGTATAAGGGAGAGAAAAATAACTGTTTTTATGCATGTCACCAAATGATAATCTGTGTGTGTGTGTGTGTGTGTGTGTGTGTGTGTGTGTTTGGTGTTTCTCTCATTACTGTGTGAGAAACACCAGTCAACTCAATCCAGACTTACCTCTACACACACACACACACACACACACACACACACACACACACAGAGCACAGCCATAAAGAGAGTAGATTTCAAATAATCTTAAGACACTGGCTGAGTGAGTGCAGCTATTTTATAACAATAAACAATCTTTATGCTCTGTGCTTGTGTTCTGTAGATCCTGGCTCTGCAGTCTATAATATTTACATTATACTCTTTAAAACTGGACAGACCACACAACACACCACTATATGTAACCTGATGATTAAAGTTACTGTTACTGTAGCTACATTAAAAAATGCTTCCAGGGATATAAGCTCCACTGTGCTCTTATTTCTCAGACTCTGACAAACATTATTACCACCCTAATGTGTCTACAAAGGTTTAGGTTTTTCCGGTTTGGGTGAGGCTGTGAAATTTATGGCCAGGCTGTTTCTATCACTTTGTGCCTGGTGTGGGAGTTTAAGTCTCTTTGCTTTCAAATACAGACATTTTAGCGGCCTGCTACCCCGCAGCATGTGTTTTTCAGTCCCGGCTTGTTGCACAATTACCATCACTTGCTAGGATTTGAATGGAGGCTAAAAGAGAAGATATGGAAATGTGCAGTAAGTAACTACATCCCCTGGGCTAAGGTTCGAAATCTCTAACCTCCACACTGAGTTGCATCCACTTGTGCCATTTTACAGCCTCCCTCATTCAAATTAAAGCAAATGCTTGTGATGAGAGACGTAAAATGGCCTCCAGAAAATGGTAGCAGTGGGAAGCTCATTTTGATCCTATTGCGACAGAGACCCCGGAGATGCTAAAGCTAACAATAACATAAACCGAATGTAATGGGCTCTCTCAAAACTGCCTGTCTTGAAGGGAAACACAGACCCTGTAAATATTCCCTTCTCAAACAGAAAATCTGTCTGCAGCAAAGCATCTACAATTGACTGTTTGCTCCCCCGAACAGTGAACTTTCAATCATACCTCACAAAGTTTGGTGGATTGTGTGTTTATGCAGTGTGCTTATCCGCTACGTAAGCTGGAAACATTCGCATGTGCAGCTACAGTAATTAGCTCACTGCCTTATAGTGTTGTTAGAAATGTCTTTGTCTCTCTATGTGCTTTGAGAGAATGAAATGGCAACAGTAACTAATGGGGACAGAGGTTATCAAACAACTGGGTAAACGTCATCTGCTGATCGAAAGCCCCAGAACAGCTAATAAATGGCCCTTGTGGGGTAGATCTCAAATGTCATACATCAGTTTCATCTAAACTTTCTGGACGACTGTGAATATAATTTATAAACTATAGCAACTATGAAACTGCCTTTGGTCTTACTTTCTTGCTGTGTTTTACGCATAAATGATTCATGTTTTGATTATTACACTTGATGCAGAGTGTTGGCACAGTGCCCCGTGTCTTGAGTATCTTACTCTGTCTATAATTTCCAATTTCATTTTCTATGATACTGCACTCCGAGCCAGAACAAGCCCAACAAAACACACTGTAAAAAATGTTCAATGGAGGGGGTTCAATTAAGGAAGAAACCCAATTTCCTCTAGTGAGCATTCTTACTTTATATGTATGCAAATATACTCCGTCCCGTTTGTTTACAATAAAACTTTTCTCCCCTTTAAAATAAAAAAAAACCACACACAGTGGAACTTTTCTGGGAACAATGTAAATAAGGGCCTCATTGATTTGGCTTTCCTTCGTATAAGTCTTGCTGAATGTTGTCCTCTGATGAGACACATAATGTTTAATGTTAGTTTGTTGAGGTCGGTACGGCTGATGGCATCACTCGGCTGGTATTGCTACAGACACTCTGGAGACTCCAGCACTAACAATAACATCGTCAGCACCCTCTCTGGGAGGAGATACAGCACAGCGGTTAGAGAGAGGAAGAAAGATTGAAAAGAGGAGAGGGAGGAGACATGAGATGTAAAAGAGGAAGAGGGTAGGAGTGTTTAGGGCACGTAAACGACTGATAGGAAAGTTTCCTCTTTGTTCCCCCTTCACAACCCCTCTCCCCCTCCATCCCTCCTCTCATCTATTCCATCATTTTGCCTTTTCTGTGCTTGCTGTTCCTCTGGAGAGAAAGCGTGTGTGCGCGTATGTGTTTGTGTTAGTCGGGTTTAGTCCCGCAAGGAGCCAATTAAAACGCAGACTTGGCCAAGAGCATGAGAGCCAGAGCTTGGGTTTGTGTGTTTAAATGGTATATTTGTGTGTGTGTGTGTGTGTGTGTGTGTGTGTGTGTGTGTGTGTCACTGTGTGCATATATGTGTTTTCTCAATACACCCTTCTCCTCGCTCCCACCAGAAAACAAAAACAACAGCTGTGAAACGAATAATACCTAGAGGAAATGGTTGGGAAAATTTGGCAATCACACACACACACACACACACACACACACACGCACCTTGTCATGATGGTGATCCAGATACTCCCTCACAGTTGCTAACGCCTCGTGCACAGCCTGCTCAGGTGGATATCCTGCACCATCACATACACACACACACAAAATCAAAAATATACACACAATTTGCAAGAACAGGTGCAGTGCCAGATCTGTGTGTTTGCGCTGTTTTTTTTTTCCAAAAGAGATACCTGTTCATCTTTTCATTATTAACACTATGTTCTGTATTTTTGCACTTCCTCTCATCCCCGACTCGCCAATTCCGGCGAGAAGCAGACACAACACACTTGTTGGTCGCGAAGAGACAGATGGAGTGAAAAACTACAGTGCTTCTTCTATAGTCATTCAGCGACCGAGACCTTTCAGTGCTGGTAAATTATCCCCGCCGCAGGAAACGCAACACAAAGGCAATAAAAATTCATCATCTGGCCAAACTGCTCAGCCCAAACAAACACATACCGTGTGATTATACAGTAATTATTCCATACATCAGGAGAGAGGGTTCAACATGTGACGGTAGGAATATACATAAGGGTGCAAATTAGCGCTCAACAACACATTGTTTCCCCACAATACACACATTTTTTACATTATTCACACTGCAAGGGATGCATAATATGTCAAACTGGGCCCTTTATATAACGTTAAACAATTGTACTGCTTGATGGAAAAAATAGAAACGTATGGTTTTCCATAACTACAATTAAAGTCAAATAGTCTTGTCCATCTGATGAAAAAGCATCTTTAGAATAAATAAACTTTAAAGCCTCTGCACACCCACAGATGATTTCACTTACTTTCCTACTCTTGCCTGTGGGTGTGTGCAAACTGTGATTGGCACCTGCCTCACGCTTCTGTTAGCTTTTTTTCAAAAGTACATACATATATATACTACTATATACTACTAATACTTTTTAATGGAACGTAATACCATCCAGTTTAATCAACATAATGACGAAATTAATATCTTTGTGAAGTTGCAACTTGTTTATACGATAATGACCTTATCAGGAAAATGTTCAGTCAAATGTGCTGCTCTTTGCAACTAAAGCAAGATTAATGTTTTGGCAACTCAAAGCACTCGGTTAATGTTAAGGAAAGATCACAGTCTTGGTCAAATATTAAAAAAAGAAATGGAAAATACAGGACCTGTTTAATTGTTTAATATTTAATCAAAACCATGATATTTTCCTCACCTCAACTGAGGCGTTTTAGTAGCCCTTACAGAACCACACAAGGGACGCAGGATGCCAACCCTGATCTCCGGTGTCAAAGCTTTTTCTGTGTCCCCCGTCCGCCTTGACACCTAAATACGACTCCTGTGTACACAGCACTTCCTGAACTGGAGAAAAATGTTGCTAATGAACATAATCAAGGCAGCAATACCATTTGCTCCAACACTTATTTAGTATTTTTATTGCTACATTGAGTTAAGGGACCTAATTCCCCTCATGAGTGTTCCCCCCTAAACTTTAATGAGGTCTAATCAGCCAAAGTGACTGAAAACAACTTAAAGACCAGGTATTTTGTTATTTCTGAGAGAGTGGCATGACTACTGTATGTCTGTGAATTCTGCCACTAATGGTTCCCAATTTAATCAAAATGTATTCGGTTTTCAGTGCTCCACAACAAGCTCTAAGATCTGTCTGTAGCAATATTCAAAAACTACTAATGTGATTGGCTGGCAGTTCTGCTGGCAACACACCTTTTATATTTGTCAATTTTATCACATGCCAGCTTCACGCTTTAACAGCTGTTAGATAACATAAAGGACTGTAAAATACATCTTAAATTTAGACAATTTATTTCTCCTTCTTCATTTAATAAACGCAGTATTCTTAAAAAGACGATGAGCTAAAAGCAGACAGACACTGAAAAACAGGTGCAACAGAGCAGAGGACTTGAATAGCACACTGAGTGAATCACAACTTTGGCCTTTTCCTCTGTCTAGCAACAGGGTATAAGTGTCGACAACCCTCACACCCAAACCCACCCCGGGGAGTGTTTAAGCACTATCCGTAACTCTCTCTCCTGCCAGTGTGAAGGGGGATTACAGTCCATCTGACACAATCTCCGGCCTAATCTATCTTAATCTGCCGGTCTTAATCCAAGGCCTTAATCTGAGAACCACCTCTGGGCTACAGGAGATAATGTGACAAGTGGCACCGGGTGGCTCAGCACTCTGGTTAAACATGACGATTGATACTGGAAACTAGCATCTGATGAAAAACACAGACAGTGTGTTCAGCGTGGCAACACATAGATGCATCACATCACATACACCGATATTATGTTGAACATTTTTCTCTCTCTTTCACTCAAAAAAAAAATCCCCAGTTTCAGTATAAGGCCCTAAGCAAACCGTAAAAACACAAATTTCTGACAATTATGATAACTCTCACACACACACACAACAGAAGACAACGTCATGCATGTTAAGAGGAGGAGACACACATGACACACAGACACTGACCGTAGATTCCAGTGGAGATACAAGGGAAAGCCTGCAGAGTAAAGATGACAAACAAAGTGGTTACAATCTGTTGCTGATCACATAACAGCTTGCTTTCATCTCACACTCACACACACACACACACACCCCAATGCACAGAAATCACACTCTGCTGGATGTCGATGGACTCTTTCTCCTGATTGTTTTTTATGGCAGTCTTTCTTCTTTATTTCACATCTATTTAAAGTGTCGATCATCCTTTATGTCAGAACTGGTGTAGAAGAACTTCCTTCCTCAGCTACAGTACTGTTAGCCCTAAGCATTATTACAATAATTATAACGGTAGATGTGGTGATTGATTGGTTGATTTGGTAACACCACTGGTTTCTTTTAACAACAGCTAGTGTGGTTTAACAATACAGGTCCCAGAGTTACATTCAGAATGACAAAAAAAGTAACAACTTGGGTATCTGATTACAGCGAAGCCAAGCAAAACATGGCTTGAGAAGACTTATTCAGTCACATTTACAAGACAACAGTAAATAATTGGCTTTTTTTTGCCATGCTGCGAGCAACCATAATCCACACCACAGGACAGACTTGTAAAAGGAATTGTTTACATTGACAATGTGTTGGAGGGGAGCTGTCCCCCGCAACTCTTCATCTAACAGATCACTGTGGCTATTCAAGAGTGAAAGCTGCCTGTGTTTCGGCAGTTGAATGCTTTTAAATAATAGTTGTTTTCTGCCCCAAATGTGTATTTAAAAGATTCTCTTAGGGTTTAAGAAGCCTGTTGAGTACCTTGCATCTCTCTACTCTCACTACATAATAGAGGCATAAAATGCCCCAAAATACATACTTGTATAGTCCTGACATGTCTATGGGCCAGGTTTGCGTGAGTAAAAACGTGTGCAAACTTGATTTCACCAAAAAATTAACACTTAAGCTGAATTAAGCTGCACATAGAATAATGTCTTTCAAAAGTGCAAGATAGCGCCTGTTGTTCATTTAGTACTTTTGTCTTAATGAATATGCAATTTGGGGCATTTCAATTTTATTGTGCAAAGTAATGGAAGGGTAACATACAAATACATTTATTTACTACAGGCAATGTGATCTAACAAGCATAAATGCAACTTCATGTGAGTGCAAAAGCATCTGTATACCTTTGAAAGGAAGGTGCAAACCACCAAGTGTTGTGCAGAGATGGCTGCTGTTATTGTTGACAGAAGGAGACACAGCCATAATGAAAGAAAACGTAGAGAAATTAACAATATTAGCCTATACTATATGCACTATATAGAAATACAATTATTTTATTTTATTTATTGATGAAGTATATGAATTGTTTTTTGTATTTTCCTTTAGCGTTGGCAATACTGTTGTATTAACATTCATGCCAATAAAGCAAATTTCGTTTCGACCTGACTTCTTTTCTCCGTGAGATGGAAGAATTTAGAAAGTTGCGTGGCTCTGCAGTGCATGGATCACGCGTAAAATTCATCCAGCCAGAAGGAATGAACTGTTCACAGCGCCGGTCGTAATAGCGATACAACCCATTGCATCGGTAAGGGAATGGGGCGTTGGGCTGTACAGGGCCAGGGACTGGAGATCGAGGAGCGACCGGGCACGGTGCGGACGGTCGGTGATTGTTCCCTCTGGCTGGAGGAAGTACGATCTGCTGATATTTCCTCGCGTCTCGGTCATTCCAGCGTAGCTGTTTCTGCTGGGGTTTCCCAAAGCAGTTTTTCAGGTGTGCTGTCCCAAGTGCAATCTTAGGCAGGATGGGCAGGTACATACGATTTCCACATACTCAGGATGCACTGAATGAAACAAACCAAGGTTTCTACGCAGTGGCTGCTTTCCCTCCCGACTCTCCATGGCGGAAACCATTAAAACAAAACCCTCATTTAAATACTGCCACCTCCATTGTGTTTGCTCCTGTTGTCATCTACGGAATAATTCTTAGTAAATCACCCATAACAGATACTACAACTACACGTGCAATATTTTAGAATGCACTCGTAATTAGTACTCTTTATTCGGGATGTTAGTTAATCGGGCCCTTTATGTACAATGAAAGCACTGTTAGTTGCTTTAATTATTTTTCCAATGCAATGTGGCCGCAAAAAATATATTTTCCTAAAGCTATTTCAGCCAAAGCTAATATGAGGCTTCAGCTGTATGAGTTAGCCAAATCAGGAGGGTATCTTCCCAAGTTAGTCTTTTTAGTACCACATTATCAGTTAGATAAAAGAACATGCATGCATCGTTTCCTGTGAATCCCTTGCGACAATGTAATTTAAAACCTGCGCAGGGCAGGTGAAATACACCTGTAACAATGAAAGCTACTTAACACTGAAGTGATAACTGAGTGTACATACATTAATTGGTTATTGCTGGAAAATGTCAGCCATAAATAGTTTCAAAAATGTATATTATATATATATATGTATATATATATATATATATATATATATTTTAGGGGTCATAATTCTAAGTCACTCAGATCTATATCAGGCAGGTTCATGCTACACCACTGGCTCCTACACCACTAGTTGAGAAAAGCAGCAAGTAAACTTCAAAGTAAATCAAATCTGGCAGATTCTCAACCTGCTGTCAGATACTGCAGTACTGGCAGATGCCAGGATGCTCTCTGTGTCTCCAGACCTGTTCGTTTGACCAGATTGCGAACTTGGCAACTCAGGATGAGAGCAGACATGACTCACAAAGTCCTCAAGATGAAAGGTAAACATAAAACTTAATGGGAGTAAAGTTATAACACAAATGTTAAATGGCCTAATAAAAAAAACCCACACAGCACTGTTGCCTAGTGGAAATATGGTTGTATTTAGGAGCAGGTAACTGTATCAAGAATTAAACTTCGGTTGACACAAACTGGCATAAATATCTATTATTAACTATTAACTAGTGCCAACACCCCAAATCTGATTTTTTAGAGTCAATTAAGCCCTTTGAGGCAAAATTGACTGATAAACTGATAAATTTTAATTTTAACACAGCACGTATCATTGTTTTCTTCTACTGTACCTCTGACTTTATTTTCATGTTAACACCTTGTTCTGTTGTGAAACCTGCTGCCTGGTGTGTTTCATAAAACCTTACAACCCAATAATCCTACCTGCAGCTCCTGTTCCGCTCTCTCTATCAATCTCAGTTTGAATGTAGTTGATCGTGATGAGTCGTCTTCTATCTTTAGGTCTGATTTCTTTCTTAACTACAGTATCTAATCTTTTTACACACAGTCGTGACTCAGTCCTTCTCTCTTTATTGTCATCTTTCCTCTTATATGTACAAGGTACACGGTAAAATGTAGTTTATTTGTCATTATACAACACAAGGTTGAATAACTCATTATCTCTTCCTTCCTTTTTGTTCTAGCAACCATCCACAGCTTCCATCATCCCTCCGTTCTCACCACAGAGCGTGCAGCGTTTTTGGTGGCTGTTTCCAGGCTGTTCTTGTAGCACGACCTCAAGGCCCTCTTCTCCTCCTCTCCCACTCCTCCTTGTGCAATTGGCCCCACTGTGTGGATAACATCTGCAGAGAGAGAGATGAGAAGATGATGCACTTCTTACCTCAATGTGACAGATATGAAAAGAGTGTAAAATAAAAGTAAAAATGTTTAATCTCCCCAATCAAATTCCTTATTTAGTCAGTGTTTATTGTGGCAGCCATGTTAAATATAGTCCCACAAAATTAATAAAAGACATAAATCATATACATTTAGCCCTACTGTTGACATAAAAGTCTATATATGTTTTTAGACTTGAACTCACAAGAAGGCATCAATGTACCATCTCTAGCATGTTTTAAATCCCATAAGCTCTGAAGTTACATCACCTCCCTCCTTACAAACAATGATTGTGCCATCATGGAGGTCAGTGGGCTTTATGAGAGTTTTAAAAAAAAAATCACTGTTCATATTAATTACAAATAGAGCATTAGTTTAATTTCACTGTGAAACTGGGGTCTTGGCTACAACAAATAAAGCCTACCAAACCAATAACTTTTGGTTTGGTAGGCTCATAATTAGCTGCTGAGGCCACACAGCTGGTGGATGCCTGGAGAGCAACAGTGGACCCATAATAAAAATAATAAAAAATAAAACCTGCCTACATCAAGATAAGAGCTGGCTTGGTAGGACAAGGGCAGCTGGGACAATGCCTCTGTCATTTTATGATAAGTAACTCCCAGCTACAGGTGTGCCAGTCCTGTTCCCCACAGGCCAGGCTCTTGGGTTGTGAGCATGTTAGGTGAAAGGTAGGCCGTGTTTTTCACATTTCACACAGTAATGTTTTACCCGATGACGGACTGAATTAGCATTTTGTTTTGACATCATTATTCATGTTCATTTGAATAGCTGAAAACATTGTTGTGTGGGCAGCCATTTGAAGGTCTGAGACCAGAGATACAGATGACATGCGCTCAGCTTTCAGTAAACTGCTCTCTGTCTTATCTCCCATATACAGTATATTAATAGCATTTAATGTTTTAGCTTAACAGCACACCTGGGACGCTATAAAGCCACTGCTGTCCCTGGTTTAAATGCTGCACGCAGATCATTGTTAAATATATAACTGAGCAGGAAACCCTGGGACGCCTATAAAAAATGTTGGGGATGTTTGTCATTAATTATGAAGTCAATAATTTGGAAAAGTAAATTTTTATCCACACTGAGAAATCTGCTGGTGTGTTTGGTGTCACTAGCCAATTAGTTGGCAAGGTAGCTGCCCAAACATTATTATAAGCTGCCACTGTAGCAAAGGGCTGAAGACCTATGGCTGCCAGAGGATGTATCATGTCAACAAAGTTCTCTCTACTTGCTGAGTTTAAATGATTCTCACATAAATCTTTTACTAAGACGGTTAAGTACGACACAGTTTTTATCCAATTGAAAAATTTGCTAAGCACTTTAATACATAATATATTTTCTTTGTCTGTCTAAGCAACAGTGTCTTTATCTAATTGTTTTGTACAATATATTTTTCATGTTTTCCTGTCATGCAGCTGCTGGAGCGCTTCACTTATTCATACTGTGTATTCTCTCAAGTTAATAAATGTTTTTTTCTTCTTCTCAGGTCTCTGAAAAAAATACTACAATTGGACTAACTGATTAAATAAAGGATAAATAAATTGAAGGTTATTGAATTGAAGGCAGAAAGGAGAGAGAGAGAGGGATAAACAGAGGAAGGAAACGGAGAACATCACAAACAGAAGCTGAATGAGGAACAGCGAAAGCTGTAGTCGAGATGTGGTTTAACAAGCTTTTACACGCCTACATCCACAACACCACACATTCTGATGAGGCTCAGCATGTTGCTCTCAGTGTGAATACCAACGCTGTCATAAGACCTAGCCGTCCACTGCCTCCCCACACACACACAGAAACCAATTCCATTTCAACAATATATTTGATCAAGTATTACTTTTTTTTTCTTACAAGGATCCTATGGTGTGAAATAATCTCAGTTTATACCTCTACAGATCAGTCCTGTCACTTCAGTTTTGAATCATGTGCCAGTTCTGGGAAACTACTAGGCTGATCTGCAGTGTTGCCAGATTTGACTGACATCAAATCAATCACTGCCAATCAGAGCCTCAAACCTGCCCAGTCTTCATAAAAGTAGTCAAGATTTTGAACCTCCGTTTAGGAGAGGCATTATTTGGTCCATCAGTAATGACAAAACTTAAAGGCCATTATGGTACTGTAGCTTATTTGCAAAACTTAAAAACGAAATGAATCCCAGGCAAGTTCTGTAGTTATAAGGAGCATTTTTTTTCTATAATTTTAAAGTGGATTGATGGATGATAGTTTGCAATGGACATTAGAGATAATGATAGCCTGCGGAAAGTGTAAGTCACACTAAATCTAAAAACATGTTATGTCTCTGTGTTCAGATTTGACCAAGTTATCACTCCAAGGTGGAGTGCGATTTTTCATGCAAATTGTGCCGTTTTAATTGCAGCACAGATTCAATTGTTCACCGTGTTGGTGAGTGGGCCAAACCATTACCTCATTTAAAATTCAAAATAATATCAGACTAATGATTGATTATATTAAGATGGACATTAATACAGCACACATACACAGGAGACACAAACTCTCACACACACACACACACACACATAGTTGACAAGCCGCAGACTCGACAGCACAGAAGCAGCTTGGAAGAAGATCTCTAATCCAACCCTCAGAGGATAGGAGGCCATTAGGCAGAGACAAGCAAGGCAAGATTTAACACAGTGTTTGGACTTTTTGAAATATGACCTGATGATCTTATTTCATAACCAGAAATTCACAGCAGAAGCATGAAATGTGTTCTTGTGTCCAATTCCCCGACATAACTTTATAGGCTCGTTTGTTGTTAGAAATCATTGTATCCATTGGCAAGGAAATTCTGCCACCTAACCACAATCAATGGAGGATATTTGGTTAGCAATGCAGGATCTACTCATTATGCCCAGGCGGTGGAACTGAGCTGTCTGCCAAAAAACTATTGTACTAAGAAACACAGTACAATAGTTTTTTCTTAATAAAAAACAAAGCTGAAAGAGAGGAAGCTCTTGGCAAAGAAACCTAATTTAAGTTGACTTCACACACACAGCTTCAATCTAAAACCACTTTGTGTTCAATCTCCTTAAAGATAGGCATGGTAGCAAACATTTTGAGAACATGCGATACAGGTTTTACACGTAGCTTTCTTTGATATATTTATTTAGATTCTGAGTAATAAATTTTAAATTGTAGATATTTATACTATTAGCACTCACTGTATTTAATTTTAGTAAATATTTTTCGGTCAAAATGTTGTAACATTTTCAAAGCAAGAGCCACTAGATTAACATGCTGCAGATTTTGCTTTTGTTTACATACTGCATGCTACATTTAGGCCAACAGCCGGTACATGCTGCTAGTATAGCAGGTGGTTCTGAATACATTCATAGTCACTTGATCAATTGTTAATATAAAAAAAGCGGTCATGGCTGCTTTACAGAATAGTTGTCAACAAGGAGTACTAATATATTTTGCACTGAAGAATGTGAACGTTTTTGTACTCCCACTCTTCTAAATTAAGCAGCACTTTCAGCGGAATATACTCCTACTGCAATCACCAAACAGGAGACGAGAAGCAAACAAGTTTACAGCAAGGGCGACTTATCAAAAACTATATGCTGTGATGCCTCTGTGTCCCCCTAAAACCAGAAATGCGTGGATGAAAGTCTGCACGACAGACTGGTACAAGAGAGGACTGCTTACAGATAACACAGATGTGGATTAAAAGAAGCATGTCTGAATAACATGACAGTACTTCATCAAACTGCTCACTGATGAAGGACAGTGCAGTCCCTGAGAAATCACTTAGTCTGAGTGAATGAACCCATACAGAAAGAATAGAAAGGGCTCCTATCAAAGTCTGTCTATACTATTAGACACTAATATTCTCATATTGCAAAGATTATTAGGGTTTATGCCATATCACTTCTTTCATATCTCATGAAATCGGAGGTGGATATCAAGTACACCAGGGATGGACAACTTTGATGATAGAATTGGCCACGAGGTAGTGAGGGTAACATTTAGTAATGCTTTTATTCATGTAATGAGCTTAACACAGAAACAAAACGTCCACATTCTTAAGGCGTCTCCGGTTGGCGTACAATCGACTGAATGTTAATGTGTTTGTGCATCAAATCTGCATGAGCTGGAACAGAGCTTCATCTGTCGTCCTTTTTCTCTCTTTTGACGTGATGTGCTTAGTTGTTGAGAAGAAGCTCTCATAGATATAAGATACACCCAAACATCCTGGCCACCGACAGTGCAAAATCCCTAAAGGTTGAAACTTGGGACTCGTGTAGTAATCTCCAAAATTAAATTTCCCTCTTACTGCGTTTTTCTTGAAAGAAGGTGTCTGACTGTAGTTTGCACAGTTCAAGCTGCAACTCTGGGGGTTCCTCACTGGACAGCTACTGGACTTACCAGTCGCAGGGACATGCATGTAGTTCCACTTAGACTCCAATGAGGGTCAGCGTCAGTCTGGCGTTCCATGGTTCAAGATCTTCAGAGCAAATTATAGCAGCAAGTTACAGATTGGGCTGTAGCAACATGCCACTGATTATTCCTGAGCTCTATGGCGTGGTCTGCAGCCAGAATCTGTTCCCGTACAAAGCACAGTGGGCGGACATAGCACAAGATTTCCCGATGATTTGACTTTCCACTGTGAATTGGGCGCCATCGATGCAAAGCATGTGCAAATCAAAGCACCTCCAAAGTCAGGCAGTGACCCCTTTCAACTACAAACAAACCAACTTCATTGATCCATTATCTGGAGTATGCACAGTCGGCGCACTTGCTATGCGTATACTTCACACAGTCACACATTTTGGGCTGTGAGCAGACATCCCCATAGGGGTCACGCGGACCAAAGGGGACCCTCAAGGACACAGAAAGGATGGCTTAACAGTAGAACATTTTAATCAGAACTCTCTTTATGATTGGTATAGATTTTCCCCTGGATTTCCCTCATGAACTGTCCATA